GGATGGGGACGAACGTCTGGTAGAGTGCTAAATAAAATTTAATGTAGTGCGAAACGTTTATGAGCTGCAACCACAGCTGATGAGGGCTCCTGCCTGCCACGGGGAGCTGCTGCTGGGCAGCAACGAGGCGGAGCGGTAAATAAACAACTGGCAAAGTGCGTAAAAAGTCGACCAAATCCCGATCACAGTATTCAAAACTCACTTTAAAATCTAAGCTTTGCATCAGCATTTTCATTTGGCAATCGGAAAGTTTGAAACTTTTCTGCTATTAAGCTACTATAATGCATAAACAGAAATAAATATTGATTTATACTTTTTTGAGATCGAATCCTGAGCAAATCCCGCTCAAATATTAACCAAAACCTTGCTCAAGTCCCGTTTAAATACGGATAAAAAATGTATGTTTTGATATAATTCTTGCAACAGCTTGAGTCTTATAAGACTTTGATAAGATAGATTATAATTCTTATACGTAAATGTTACGATTAAGTATGCTTGGAAAATGAACCAAAAGATAAATTGGAAATAAATCGTGTTATGACACTGTCGGTTGCATAACTTTATATCCTATATTGATTGAATTTAATTTAAATTCAACTTTACCCTGCAGAATTCTATGCAGCTTGCACTTCAAATGCAGAACAGGCCCTGTTCAGCAACGTCCCCTCATCCGCATATTCGACAGCTGAAGCGCCGTTTGATTTTCAATTTAAATATGGAAGAAAAAATTTGTATTCCAACTGCAATTGGCGTTTTCCTCGCAAAATGTATATGAACTATTTTCCTTTTTTTTTTTTTGTATGGCGTTGCGCCTTTCGGCTGAAAATCGCAGGGGGAAAACTGCTTGTAATTGACAGCAACGGGACTACTGACAGTTTAATTATTTTTCCAACCGCCAATCTCTTTTCTGCGGTTGCTCAAAAATTGAATTGAAATAGATTTTTGTTTTGGCAATTATGAAATTACAATTCGTTGAACAATATTATTTCTCTTCACTTTTTTTAATGACAAAATGTCTGCCGAATTTCGCAACTTTATTTTCCTATTAAAAGCGGAAATGCTTCTTATTTACTCAACCTACTTATAGAAAATACGCCTCTGCTTGGAAAATATTTATAGCAGGAAGCCAACGAGAAGGGGAAGTCCGTTTAAATAAACTCTGCCCCCCTATTTGCTTTAGCCCTACGGACATAACCAATAACAAGTGGTAACAACCTATACAGACGTCACTTAAACTGTCCAACTGTGAAGCGCCATCCCGCTTTTCCATTTCCCTCAAGTGTTGCTCCCCCTTCGGGTCAGCATCAATATTGGAAAACAAAACGAGAACAAGAACGAAAGAAAGTTAAGCTTTAGTCTAGGCTTACATTCACTCGTAGGCGAGAACCTAAGGCTGGCGGAACCCATGGACAATTTCCGTTTCCTGTTGCAAGATGAACAGCTGCTGCCTTCTGTTGCTTTTGTTGTTCGAAAAGGCGTTGGGAAAATAAAGCCAATAAAAATGGCTGCCAATTGCGGTGAAAGTGCGGACCTAAAGGGCACTTTCCTAGGAATGGAAGAGGTTTGTAGTCGGGGTTGGAAAAGGTGTTCAATGATTAGTTTAATATTTTATATCCGGCTAAGAATCAAGAAAGGTATCTTTCCATTTTATTTTTAGCCAAGATTACTCACCTGATTGGAATCATGACAGTCTCTCATCCTTACTTCAATATCTCCTGACTTGCGCACATATCATGAGGCAAAGCCAAGGCTAAGCATCACATTAGCCTGGCCACTTACCAAGGGCATTAGCCTGCTCAGGTGCTGTCCCTTCTCAGCCACTTTCTTGGGCTGGTCAAAATGCTTTGCTGGCTTTTAATGCGTTTAAGCGCACTTACTTTGCCCTATTCGTTGGCTCCTCACTTGGCATTCAGTTGGGGGAAATTTTCAGTCAACCACTTGTTGCCATCCTTGAGGTCCTGCCTTGGCCTTCCCGCCCACATGTGAGCTGATTATGTTAATGCGAGGGCCCATTTAATGCGTTGCCAAGTCAAACAGCATTTGCGGTGCTTGGAAATTAAATTAAAAGCAAAAAGAAAAATAAAGTTGTGACTATAACGAATGGAAAGTCCATGAAATACAAAAGTTCAGTGTTAAAAGTGCGCAATTAAATTAAAAGTTGGCCGATTTTATTACGATTTTATGACTTTCACTCAAGAGGTGAAATTACCAACAGGTCAAGCGGGAAATGGTCGAGTATATATGTATATTCTTTGGCTGTGAGAGCTCATTAATGGGGATTTTCATTCAAGGCTTTTCCAGTGGAGCTTAATAACGTTGAAGGAACAGGCTGAAAGGATTCTTTTGTCTTTGGATTTACTGGTAGGGTTTTTAATATATTAAATATCAGAGCATGTTAAAAATACATGTGTACAAAGTCTTTTAAAATTTAAAAGAGAGATGTTAGCAATTATTTATATAATTTATAATTTAATATCCATTTATTAATTTGGACAATGCTTTAATATATTTTTTCTTTAAAAGCTCTTTACTACTTTTTCAAAGTTCTCAATCACAAGAGTATTAACGCTTCGGCTTAAGTATTATTACATTTTGCCTCCTTTCGCTTTTCGGCCATTTCTTGGTTTCCATCTTACCTTTCCCTTTGTTTGCTTTAATTTCCACTTTTGGCCTTCTTATCGAGAAGGAAAGCTTCGGCTGACCCGCATTTTAAAGCTGCTTAAATGCTTGCCGGACCCCCATCGTTCTGCTGCAGGGTTTGTGCTGTTTTTTGGGGGCCAAATGGAGGGCAATTTGCGGGCGGGCAGCAAACAAAAATTCATTAAAATTTTGCATATTTATAAAACTTGAGTGACCCCCATGTTGGCGCCTTGGGGCACTTTTGTTTTTAAAGCCTTGCCACCCCCATTCCAGAATTTCCTTGTTTATGCTTCGTAATGTGGCAAGCTTAAGTTTCCTAGCCAAAAAGTATGCACAGCTAGAAAAAATAAAAAAAGGAAACAGAAAACACTCAAGCCGAGTGTAAAATATAAGGACTGAAGGGCACGGGACAGGGAGGGCAGCAAAAGAAAAAGTTTTTAATATGCGGATAGCTTTAATTAAATATGTTTTCCACTCGGCGAACCCAAAACGCAAAGGAAAACAAAAACAAGCAAAACATTATGTGTTTTTTTGGGGGTATATGTGTGTTTGTTTTTGGTGCTTTCAATTTTTTTTTCTTCACTTGAAACATAAACATAAATGTTGGTCGGTGTGGCAAGCAAACAAGTTTTTCCCTTCACTTTTCTTTTGCCTGTTTTCTCTTTTCCAGAGTTTTGTTGTTTTCCTATTTAAGCGAAAAAAAGAAAAACTTTTGGAACGAGAAAAATTTGTGTAATTTTTTTGCTCTGTTTACTTTGGTATTTTATGTTAGTGTGTTCTAATTTTTTTGTGCTTAGTTCTTGCCTTTGGCATTCATTTCGCTTTTAGGGGTTTTGAATTACTTAAATTCTTTAATTTGTAGTGAGGAATGAATATATTTAGAACAGAAGCCATCACACACAGAGGAAAATATAAAGAGTATTTAATAGATAATTCTACTTGATTATATTTATAATTTTTCAAGTGAAATTTAAATTATAAGAGCTAGATTTAAAGACTTAAATTCATGGAAAAGCATCTCAAGTAGGTGTCTGTAATTAATTTTCCATGCAAGAATCTCTTTGCCTTGTTCCAATCAGACAACACATTGTACGGGTGTAATCTTTATTTATTGATTTCATTATGGAGTTAATATTTTACTTTATTAAAGAACGAATGAAATACGCCTCTCAGCGCAATCACTGAAAATTTATTTGTAATGAATTTCTTGATTTTATTTTCTCTTCGCTCTTCCTGCAGCTATTGTTATGGAGTATGTATGATTTCTTCGTTTTCTTTTTACACATTTCTCCATTTCGCCGCCTACGAGGGAAGTTTAAATAAACATAAAATGGGCGACACTCCTGTGGATATGTCCTTTTCCTACCTCCCACACTCGCTTACCATATTATTCCTGCCCACGTATGTACATATACATATCTGGGCGAGGAAAAAACAACAAATTGACATATCGAGGCCGAAAAATTGCAAAAGCAGGAGACAGAAATATTGCGTATTTTTTTTGTTGTTGCTTAAATTTGATGTAAAATTCATCGGATATGAAAATCTAATGATTTGTAAAGGCGTCGATAAGCGGAAAATGTGTAAAAGGGATAGGCAACTCGCCGCCGGGATTGTTGGGTAAAAGTTTACACTGCCTTACCCCCTTACAGATGAGGGGAGAAAGGATTTACAGCATTTATTGAAATATTAATATTTGCTCATATGAGTGAATGTGTTTGGGTGGCTCGGCTGAAAACTTTTCACAACCATGGAAATTAAAGCCAACCAATGTTTGCCCAAGAAAATTCAGTTGGCTGAAAAGTTTTCCTCGGTCCAGCCCCAAACCAAAAATCAATTCAAAGTTTTGCCTCAGGCGGACTCCCTTTATCCCTTCTTATTATATATATATATTTATCTTTTTTTTTTTGGTTTATGGGTCAGAGGCAGTGACCCATCTGGGGATATTTCTGAGCTCTATATCGGATTAAGAGCCATTATCTTTTTTGGAGGCTAAATTATGCTCAACTCAACTCAACTCGGCTGAGTGTGCAGTGGAAATTTATTGTGTAAATTGTATTTATTCTAGATTTATAGATACACATGTCCATGTATAAGTACATATAAATTTCTTAGCTCCCTCTTGAGCCGAGATTTCTGGTCTTTCGTGCTGGCATTAAAAAATATTTACAGTGTCTAGACTTGCCGGAGCATAAATCAAATGCATGCGAGTTTTCTTCTTTCGGTGCAAAGAGGGAAAACTCCCTGAGACTGTGACTATGTGTTTGGTTCTTTTAATGTGCAACGTGCAATATTTATCTTTTTCTTTTTTGTACAAAACTCTTGTGATTCAGCTGCATTTAAAAGCCAAGTCAAACCAGTAAATTAGTAGAAGGCTTGTTTACATCTTCGATGAAATAAAAGCTTTCCAAACAGTAGATTTGTAATTAGTACAACTCTGGACTAAGACTGAGATGCAATAGATAATTTGGTAATATTATACAATAAATGTAATTGAAGTTAATATTATACTCCGCGCCTTAATCCGCTCGGATCGAGCAGAAAACGCATGCCAAAGGCAAATCGATCTGTGGGCAGGCTCATGACCACACTGAAGCCCATCTGCAGAGGCAGATTTGTGAGATATTTCGTCCACATAAAGCCCACGGAGGCATCCGAATCAAACATTCCATGGACTGTGGAATTCCAAAAGTTCCATCGATAACATATGGTGGCTATTGTCTTGCGAGTACTACGATTCCAGGCCAGGAGATTGGCCATCTCGATTTGTGGGTGGATACGCTGCCAATAGCTAATGTCCAGACCCTGTCGCGATGCGGAAGCAGCCAAGGAATAATTGTAGTGCGAGTAACTAAAAAGGGTTAAATGTAAAAGGGTTAAAACAATAAATAGAATCAAGAAATATCTCCCGCTTACCGAGCTGCAATGGCCACACCTGTATCCAGTTTGCTGGGATCATTCCACTCGAGGAGCACCTCTCCACCGAGAGCCCAATGAGCGGATATCGACCGCATCATGGACAATGTACAGCGACCGGTGTCACTTCGAACATTATAGAAATTGGCCGACCAAGTGTCACACTGTCGCGTCCATTCGATCGTGTATTGGCTCTCCACCGGAGTATCCTTGTTGGCCTTTTGCATGACAGCCTCCATGCGCAGCGATTGGAAGGGATAGTAAAGGATATTCAAGTTGGATGCCAGCGATGAGGGATGAATGTCCCCGGTGATAGTTGGTGTATACTGAAGACGAAAGTTAAGTTAAAGAATAATAAATTGATTACAAGAAATTAGACTTACCATTGTGTCACCAACAACGCGAAATGTATATTGACCGCCAAATCGAAAACCAGATGGTCTCACATGGCTAAGAACCCAGGCGGCTGTTAGGTACTTGTTCGGTGCCAGTCGATGCAAATAGTCTAGTTCGATGCCATCATAGAACTTGGGCATCACCGAATGGGCCAAAAGGTGTAGGTTCTGGACATTGCCCGGATTCTTCTTGTTGCTATGACCTCCAACACGTTCCAGGCACTCGGGGAAGAAGACGCCAAACTCGTTGGCCTTGTAGGGGGGACAACTCTTGCAAGACGACATATCGATAATGTTATGGTCATCCAATGAGGATGCAGCAATACCGATCCTTGTGGCTTATCCTAATGAAACAGTCTGGTGTTCGAACCGTAACTGGAATTGTGTGTTTTTTATTTATATTTGATTCAGCCTTCACCTGGCAACGAGAAACGAAAATGTTACATAGACCGGATGGCTGGCTGGCTGTTCGATCAAATATTTATGATATACACGGATGGTTGAGGACGGTTACATTACAGACAACGCGCATTCAAGCAAAAATATCATCAGCTGTCAATTGTCATTTTATGCGCCATTTCATGGGCTCCTTTTCGTCCCGCCAGTTACGTTCACGGGCTTGGCACACCATTAGGCGCATTTCACACTTTTTACATTATTTATATGCCATCGTCTTTTGCCTTTTGGTTTTTATACTCCTCGTCTGTCCTTTGCCATCGCTGCTCCTTGCTCTCCGTCTCTGGCAGGCCATGAAATATTTAAGCACCGAGTCCAAGCCAGCTTTTAAAGGATAATGGTCGCAGCGACCAAGATGCGGATGAAGATGATGATGATGATGATGTATGGAGCGGAGACTCGCGTGTGACTGTCCTCATGGTTGTTTGGGTTTTCGGTTGGGCAGCTGATTCACCGAATGGAATTATAGATGCGATAGCCTCAGGCGACAAATCAGTGAACCCAGTTTGCATAATTTCTTTATTAAATTCAAAGAATCGAAGAGCTCTGTAAGAATACCAAAGGGCACAATAAAAATTCGCAGTACTTCATTGGGGATATATATATATTCTAATTTATTCACACATTCTATGTATCTTAAGTCGAAGTATTATTATAAAATTACTTTGCTTATTCCTCTGTTATTACTTCCGCTGAGTAAAAGCTCTTATGATTGTTATATTTCTCTCCTATGGCGCACAAATTTTTGTAATATTTATCACGCCTGTGGCACTTGATACCTGGCTTTAGGCCCCATTTGTAAACCGGCATGCCAACGATATTGGCCGTGGCAAAGGCACAGCTAAATATGAAGTGATCATTGTTTTTAAAGTAAATTGTTGCGCAACCGAAATGCGAGTTGCGCTCATTAATCAGCAGGGATGCCCTGAAGGTGGATCTGAAAGGATAGATTACCAAAAGAAGGTTAGCTACAATACCAATAAATATATAAATTCCATTGATTACGCACGCCTTATCAAATGCTTGAGGGAGATGGAGAGTGTATTTTCTATCGATCATTCCGATACCGCTTTTCCAGTATTCGATCACCTCGTTCATGATGTCCAAATTCGTTGCGGTGTCTTCGCCATAATTTTTGAATACCTCTTCGGTTAGTACACCGATATAGTAAAAGTACGGCGAAGTGTGACAATGGTGGGTGGTCTTGCGGCACAGAACCACATCGAGATGTGCGAACCAGGCCAACTCATCCGACCAGGACATTTTGGCCATTCGAGCGGCCTGGGGCAGGTTTCTATAGTGGCCACCGGCCACCTCGTTCCGCACGTTGTTGAACATTTTGCTGAGGGGATCTCTGTAACTGGTCATATTCAGCATCATGGGACCTTTCAGATTACAATATACGAGGGTCTGGAAACAAGAATGCACTTAATGATAATTTATCTTGAAGTTAACTTCTAATAAAATCTTACCCCATTGTTCATACAGGCAGTATTACTAGATCCACATAATTTCGATGTGCAATAACGCTTGTCCACTGACCGATCTATGGCTACAACTTGGCTTATTAGGCAGGCCAGAAAAATAATTGTTGTCCTCATTCTGGCAAAGGTAATTTCCAAACTGATGTGCACAATACAGAAAGGCAGTAACTTTTATAAGAAGTATTACAAAGATCGATCATCAAATGTTTTTGCAAAAATATTGTGCTGAATGGAAAACAGCTGCTTCTGTTGATAACCAAACAGAAGGAACAACTGGTCGTCAAAAGATAATGAGCGGGAAATTTATATTAAATATAAACTTGTAGTAACTTTTTCCTGTCTCCAACTTTCTTAAAATGTCATCAAATTTACTTAACCAAGCCGCAATGCTAATACGCTCATTGGAAAGAGCATAAATGACAATGGCAATGACGTTTGCCAGATGTCGTCTAAGCCGATTTCCATTTGGAGTTCATGAAAGCAAATGCAAAAGTTGTTTATTCAGCAGCTTAGCCGCCGCTCAGCGTTCCTTCTGTACATTGCCCCAACTCCGCTGAAAGCTAAGCCCTCTCCAAACCCGGTAGTGGAAACATCACTTATTTAGACGGCAGCACTTAAATTTATCACTCAGCCAGCAGCTGGCGGCCTGGCAATGCCGTCTGGTTTGTTCTACCCAACCATTTGCTTTAATTTAATATGCTAAAATATATGTATATATATATAGAGGGAGAGACCCACCACCCGCATTCTCAGTTTAGCAAATCAAAGCCCATCGCGACCGCAGAACTTTTGCGGGAAAACCGCAGGAAAGCTCAAAGGGAAAACCGAAATGGTTCCCTCAGTTCAGGATGGGCGTAGCGGCGATTCAACATGATAATCATAAGTAAATAAGACAAGTAGTAAGGATGGAACTCGTTGTCGCCCTAATTGGGGGATTTTTCTCATAGTTTTGAGTTAAAGATCATAATATTATTGCTATTCAACTTGAATTTGGACAAAACACCAAATTGATAAGATAAAAGTTGGTTGATTGTGTCGCAAAAATTCCATATTTTTTTAAATTATGAGATTTTGCATTCGTATAAAATTATTTAATCTTTACAATCTCACAGATCAACTGCACTTTGACCTTAACCTACAACCTTTCATCTGTCAAAACAATTATGCATTTACAATTATTATATTAAATACACTTTTTTATGACAAAAAAAGGACTCACCGTTGCTCACCTGTCGTTTTGAAAACAAAAATAATGACCCAGTTCAAAAGTTAAACAGTTTTAAAATTCTTTCTCGCATTCAAAGGGGGGAAAATGTTGTTTCAGCAATCGGATTTCCATTAAAAAGTTAAAACCAAACAACATATAGTTTCAAGTGATGTTCGTGGTCGAGGGCAATTGAGTTTTCCGCTCCCTTCCTTTGCATCTTTGGACCTCGACCGCTATTAACTTATGAGCTTTTCCACGATAAAGCGCCCGAAAAAGTAGGCAACAAAAAAACGGTGAGCCAGCCTCGGGCAAATATTCAAATGAATATAAATTAAAATTGAAATATAAATGATACACTACAAATGAAAAACACTGCGAATAAAATAGCGCAAAAAGGATGTGTGTAAAAAATGACAACATTTAAAATATTTACTGTCCAGCATTGTGGATACTGTAAAACATCGATGAAAAACAATAAACGAAAAAAAAAAACAATTCAATCGCATTTCGATGCACAAAAATTTATTTATTTATCTTCTGTTCTGTTTTACAGTTTTGTTTTTTATTGCATGCTTTTTGTTTGCATGTGTGTGTAAAATGCTTACTTTCGTGTTTATTTTTTTAATTGCTCACCGTTTTTTATGCATTTTGCATATAATTTAATTTTATTTATTGCTTCTTACAAAAAAAAAGCGGCATGCTACAAAAAAAAAGGTAAACAAAAACCAACAGCAAAAAGGAGTTGAGGCTGCAATAAATTTTTAATATTTTAAGCAATTTCCATTTTTGGTATGTGGGAAGGCTGCACTTTTGTAAATTCGTTATCAATAAATGTTGTTTGTGTTCATTTAAACTTGTTTGAGTGTGTGTTGGCCACCTCAGGGAAATTGAAATGGGATTGTTGCTCTTACAACAACTACAATAGGAGCGAGAAATGAAGTTTATAATATATATAGTTTTTTGTGGCACAATAAATATTTGAAATCCAGAATGAACAACTGGCAGAATGTAAATAAAATAATATCAACTAATAACGTGGGAATTTAGTAATATCTTTTCCAAATATTCGAGTAAATATTTAAGAAGAAATGCCAGAACGTCATGAAAAATAAATTAACATTGATGTATTCAAAAATAAATATTAATAAATAATAATATTAATATTGATATTGATATGGAAAATGTACACTGACGTATATGAGAAACCTTATACTAAAACCCAAGAAATACTCTTCTACTCAAAACCTTAAGACTCGTGTCAAAGAAATCGAAAGTGCTTGGGAAATATTTGAAAATTGAATAAAATAAACCTTATCTCGCATGCCACGAGCTCTCAACTCCTTTGCTCTTATTTCAGCTCCATTAAATATTTACAATGAGGCAAACAAATCAAAGTGACAACAAACAGAGGCAGGCCTCTCATCCTCGCAGCTTTTACTGACTGATTTTCGCTTCACCAAATATTTGCATACCTCGCTGGCTTTTTCCTCCAGAGAACGACCCGACTATTTCCCTTTGACTTGGCGTGAAAGAGTTTGGCGAAACCGAGTCGTCGACACTTGGGCACGATTTGCATTAAGCCCCCTCTCGTCCCGTGCCATCCAAGTGGCTAAAAAGTGTCTCCGACACTCTGCCATTGGCATCCATTATTTTGTAATTATTTAAGTGCCTCCAATGAGGCACCTTATTGATGATGACAGGGGTTCCTGGACCTTCCATTTCCTCCCATTTCGCACACTCAATCCGCCTCGGGAGCGGCGCAGGCAATAAGTGAAAAAAATCAAAAAGCCATAAAAACTTTACACAATCGAAACGTGCAAAAGTTGATTTTTGCCAACGCTAGCAGCCAAAGCTGAAAAGAAGTGGCCTCTCGTTCCATTCAGAGAATAAAAAAAAGGCAGACAACAAAATCAAAGTGCGGCCGGCATGTGAAAGTAAACTTTCTTTTTCTTTCTCTCCTTCATTTTGCTGTTGCCCAAGGATGGGAGGCTAATACGAGGACAGCACAGGACATAAGAGTCCTGGCCGGCAAAAGAGGCGGGAACTGAAGAGCAGAGGCCAGTGATGGCCAAATCGACCCATAAAAAACGAGGACGAATAAAAAGCGCAAGAAAATTACTTTCCGCTCTACAAATTCCAGCAAGGGGGAAAAGTATCCAAGGGCACAGTGTATTTAAAGATATTTTTATTTAATAAAATATAATTATATTAAAATATAAATAAATTCAAGTTGTTCATTCTAAAAAATGTCTGTTCTTAAGTAAAACCAAATATTGAGTGATGTAAGTGTAAATAAGAAATATTATTAGTTGATTATTTTTATTTACAAATTCCTTCTTACATCATTTTTTCTATATTTTACTTTTTTTAAATGCACATATATTTTATTAGCAATACAAATTCAATAAAACAATCATATATTTCGCACACTGTGCCACATCGAAGTCAGCAATCGAAGGGGCCATCCACAAAGTCAAGCGTGTAAAGTAAGTAAAGTTGCGAGTAAAAACCTTTTCCGTCTCTTCGTCTTTTGCCATCGGCTCTTTTGAGGCATTATGTACTGACAATTTTCATGATTATGCGCTTACGGATTTCGAGAGTGTCCAGCCAGGATTCCCCCCTTTATTCCCTTCCGCCCTCGTGCCCCTCGGCCACAGCTCTCTCAGTGTCCGGGTGAGCGCAGCTGTTAAGCCTTTTCCGTTTCCGCCAGCGTTTACTTTTTTTTCTGGCAGCTTCTTTTCCTAGTTGATGGCTTGACTTTGGCGCCTAGCTGAGTATTGATAGTATTGAGATACCATTGAGAGCAGAGGAGAGGATCCTGGTTATGGCCATCAAAGCGGAAATGAACATGGGGGATTCCATTCAATTGGCTTTCAAGGATATGAAGTCCTAGTGTGTGTGTGTCAGTGTGATGTGAAAGGCGTTGGCGGACATTTTACGGGTAATTATCGAATATGTTCTGCCGGATTGCAGGAATGGCCGATGATTGAATATCAATTTGGAAAAAGGAAAAAAAAGGAGTTCTGGCAAAGTAAAGTGAATGAAAGATTAAAGATAAATATGAGGGTTAGGCCGTTGTTTGGGTCAGACAATAAGTGAGGGAAAAACGATGGTTAAATACGATTTCTGCTATTCTTTAAGGATTTAGCCGAAAATGAATTAGTAGAGATAAAAAGCATAGTATAGGAAAAGGTCCAAAAGAAGATTATGAAAGTTCATAAGGGATAAGTAAGGTTTTTGTATAAAATACATTTCCAAATGTATCTGTACATGCTCCTAAATTTCATTAACCAAAACCGAATTTATATCCCTACCGAAAATTCAATTATTGCCAAGCATTTTGATTACCTACCCCAAAATCGGTATGAAATCCGCGTTCGAGCTCAAATCTTGTGCCATAAAATTGTCATAACTGTAAAGTTATTGTGACATTTACAATAAACGGGAAAAGGAGGCAAACGGAAAATGCCAGCTGTGACTCCTCCTGTCTGCCCTTGGGGTATTCAGAGTTTTCGTTGGTTAATTTACTACAATGCGCCCAATATGCAGCATAAATAATACCCAGCGTTCGACATAAATAACCAAGGATGCTAAAATTGGCAGGAGCAGCGACCTGGAGATGGGGCACACAGGATGCCAAGGAGCAGGAGCAGCTGCTGCTGCAGTCAATTTCAGCGTTCGTCTGTAACTGTAACAATTAATTAGAAACTAACAAAGTTCCACTTGGCAGGCGCTAAACTTGTCCCAGGACCCAACCGAATCGAATCGAATCGAAACGAAGCGAATCGAATCGAAGGCGACATCCAAGTCCAAGTTGAAGTCGTAGTGGAAGTCGTAGCCTAAGTCGAACGTACACTGTCGCGCACATAAAGCGCTTTTAATTGATTTTCCTGTTACGTGCGCTCGAGAATCGAACCGTAATCGTTCATTCATTCATTCGAATTGTAGTTAATTAATAAATTATTCCGTGCGATTGAACTAACAATGTCGCTGTGTGGAAACTTTCTCTGCCAGTGTCCTGTTCGCATCGCTTTAATTACCTTTTAGTCCAGGACTTTCCACTTTGTTTAGCCTGGCTTCGCTCTTCTTTTTATACTATATATATACTCTGAATTTTTTCATCTCACATTTTTTATGTGTGTGTGTGTGCTGCCTTTGCTGCAATTAAACACATTTTATTTGCGAATGTTTATGGTGCCTGCATGATGCGTATACGCAATGTGTTCGCTCTGCTGCTTGCACGTTGCGTATACGCAGTGTGGCACACAGCTACCACAGGCTCGTAAATGTTGCGTGGCCCATTCAAGCGTACATATTTCTTTTTTAAAGATACGGCCAGAGCATAAACATTTAGCCTTAGCACCACTGCCTTTGCCAGTATCCCCTGGCCTCAATTAAATTTCGCTTTACTTTATGTCCAGTAAGTGGTACATACCCGTGGCTCAGGTGCATAGGAAATATATACCAGAATTTATTACTGAACTTAATTTGAACAGAGAAAACTTGAATTGCTGCTAAAGTAATCAGAAAATTATACAAGGAAAAATATTCTATATATATTTTTGAGTCTAAAGATTAAGCTTTCCTTTTCCAATTAATTAAACATTTGACAAACATTTTTAATTCAAATTCGGCTTACCTACGATTGTTCTTTGACTTTGGCAAAAGCCAGACATATAAATCTTGATATTCGGCCAGAGAATAGATAAATCAGGGGATATTATTTTAGAAAACATATTGCAATTTTTATTTGAGCAAAGAAACTTCATAAATCCAAAAGGCAGTCGAATGATAAATACAATTCTCATAAAAAATAATTGAATCAACAAACGCACACAGAGAGAAAGACGAGCTAGGCGAATCCTGGGAGACCAGAAACCAGAAACCAAAAGGCATTAGCAGCAGATTACTACCAGAGGAGGGGTTCTAGGAAATATTCTGTTCCAGCTTGCAACTTGCATTTCGAAATCCGACTCCGAGTCCGGCCCAAAGAGTCATTAGCAATGTGACCCAGAAATGGACGAACCACATAAAATTTTATGCTGTTTGCCATAATAAATTTAATTAAAAAATCAAATTGACTGAGAGAGAGAGGAAAGTCAAGCAGCAGCACCATCAGACCGAGTACCAGCATCCACTTGAACATTAGCTCCAGTTGCCTACAAATGTGCTGAGTAATATTTGGGTCAACTTCTGCCGGTCGACATTTGGCTTAATGGCCGGCAGAAGGCATAAGACTGGAACTGGCCAGTCAGATGGAATTATCAGACTTTACTAAATTGCTTTCGGACATTTGAAGTGCATTTTATGGAAAGCCTAGGACCTAGAATGAATGGGGGAGAATTAATCGCAAAATAAATGTCTCCAGCTCACCTTGAGGAAGTCAAAAAGTTAAGAGAGAAAGTTTGACCAAAGTTTTCGCTTTTTTATTTTCAATTTATTTTAACAATAGCTTCTCTTGGCTCCTTTTCATCCTTTATCAATTTGTTGGAGTTTTTCTTTTATGACCTGACAGTTAATTACGAAATAAGGAAGCAAAAGGGCAAAAAAATCAAGGCCGCTAATCAAGCAGGAAGCAGGCAACTCGAAGGTGTTCAAACCGGAAATGAGGTAATCCAGGAAAAGAGCCAAAGTCGGAGTCAGAAAATTCGAAATGATTTTTAACTTAATTGAAGCCTAATTGAGTTTTAGGGTCGAAGGAGAAGGATTAAAAAAGCTTTTTGAGAACCAGTCTAGATTTACCACAAAATTTGCTGTTAACCAAGATTTATTTAAGTAATCTCCGAATTAAGGAAATATTTCATTATTACGTATCTTGATTTTGATGCTGCCTAAAGTTGCGTTCTCAATTTCTCCAAAAAATCATCTATAAACTCAGTTTCTGTGTGGTTTAATATCCTCGCTTTATAGACACTGTGATCGTAATTGTATTCATCACTCAGTCGCTTATAGGCCGCAGCACGATAAAGCCAAGCACGCACATTTTTTTCATCTATGTAAGCAAGGATATAGTCACAGTCCATAATACCACGCTTGTATTCTCTCAATCTTTAAAAATAACAGATTAAAAAGTGACATTTCCCAAGTATATTTTAAACACTCACTTTATAAAACACATGGCGCGATTTAGATATAAAACTGGAGTATCCTTTACATATGTAAGTCCTTTTGTATAATAGTTTATTGCCTCATCGAATCTTCTTTTTCGATACTCGAAATTTCCCAATCGACGAAATGTATCGGCCACACTTTCCCTTTCTAACCGGACCAAAAGGCGATCCTGTGGCTCTTGATTAATTTGTCGCATAAAAGTAAATTGATTTGTATTTAGTGGAAGTTTTTTTGATTTGCCTCGTCTGGAGTATGTCTCGGTGTTTGAGACCTTTCGCAAAGTGACCATAAAATCCAAATTCATATCCAATGATTTGCGGTCAACTGTGGATTTTCTAGCCTTCGCGGAACTAAACAAAATTCCCTTAAGTTTAAGTGTGATATTCAAATACATATGTAGTACTTACTCCATCTTATTGGCATTTTCTATAGTCTCAAGGTACTCAAGTACATCTTCGACTTTTGAGGGTTGCTTAAGGAATGACTCATTGGCTTCGGGATATTGGTGTACTAGAAAGTCTTGTTTTAGTGGTTCCAAGTTTGAGAAAAATATATTTTCATTTTTATAAGACATTTTATTTTATTTTTTTTTTTATATTTTTCAGTATTTTTTTGTTTTTGTATTGTGTATTTTTAATGTGATGTGTTAGAGTTAGAGTGTTGGAGTTTGTGTGTAAAGTGTTGAAAGGTTGACAGCAAAGCCATTGTTATGTGATGACATTTTCCTGCTCAGGTCATGAGTCCTTGAGGAAGTCGAAATCAATTATTCATAATACAAAGTATTCCAAAGAATATTTTATCATCAAAAGTGTCACTCAAGATTACTATTGAAATATATATCTTTTAATTCCCATTTTCGCTGTTGATTATTTCCTTTTTGCCCTTCCCCTTTTCAGGCTGTTCTCTCATTCACTTCCTGCCATCATCTGATTAAATATTCCTCTCAAATTAATTGACTTTTGCATCAGCAAATTAAATTGTCACGACCCAGAATCTTTTACGCTTCACCACAAAAACCGAAATCAACCCAGCTAAAAAACCCAGATTCCTCTCGCCCAACAACTCCTTCGGTTCTCTCGGCGAATGCCACAGGATATTTCTGCATAAAATTCGATGTGCTGGGAGCGATTTTTAATTTGAATTAAAAATGCATCATTGCGTTGATTTTAATGCACACACAATTAAAACGGCAAGTCAGGAAATTGCCAAATGCATTTAAAAGCCATGAGAAAATTCAAATGCGAAAATCAATGAGCAATTGCGAATGCAAATTGGAAAAATCCAGGCGAGGGTGGAAAATCAAAAGCGAAACAAGAGAGCAAATACAAAAAAAGAAAGCCAGGCGTTGAAATTAAATGAACTGAATACAAATCAAACTAATGTAGAGTCGACGACGATGACATACGCACACTGGATTTTTCCGGGGAAAAGCTGAAAAGTCTCTCTCGCTAATCGCTAATTGCTTTCAGCGACACTGTGGCGAAAATGAGGAATGTGTGTAGAGAGAGGAGGGGATGCCCCGGGTGAGCTGTAATTGTCGCGCTTTCCAAAATGCTCAATTTGCAATGCAAATGTCAAGCATTACTTTGGCAGCTTTAGCAGATGGTGTCGACATCGCGCCTCCGGAAAATACTTTTATAGCCGCTTTGGAGCTAAAACGAGATCGGGAGCGGAGGAGGGTTCAAGCTGGCAGTGTTTGGCAACAGCTTAGCGCACAATCAATTAAATTGTTTTATTGACACTTTTCCTATGACACAGACACACACTTGACACCACTTGCACAAACACATCATGCTGGAAATCCAATAAAAGGAAGATGGAATTAAGTTTAAAGGACTTTTGTACACTCTACAACACTCATTAATGATGAAAGAATACATATAAAATCTATAGATTAATCAGGGTTTCTTAATAATTAAGATTTGGGTTAAATACAATTTTTCATGGAATATCTTTAGCTTACCCCAACACTCATAGCATTTCCTCTCTACCCTATAAACGCATAAAAGTGCCCATAAAAAAAGTAAACTCTGCAATTAGTTGACTTAACTTCTATGACATACAATTGGCAATTTATTAAGGAACACAAAAGGCATTTTTCTCACTCCCTTGGACTGCCGCACTTCAGTGCTCAAGCGAACGGAAATTGAGTGTCCTTGCAGAAGGGATTTATTTATGGTTCATAGATTAAATACTAATTAACACCCAACCACACACAGAGCGGAGCAGAGAGCAGTGTGTGTGTTGGCATTTGATTTATGTGTGGAGCATCTCCGCCCAACGCCCTTGTGCGTGTGTCCTGTAAGGATTAGGCCAAGGGCTGGCGTAAAAGAATAACAGGCCGAGACGGAGGCGGAGGACCAAACATTTGCCTGGCCATTGACCAAGGTCCTCCTAGACTATTATGCGTATCTTAATGCCATAAATTCTGCTTAAATTATTGGGGTTGGTTAAACACACGCTCCGTTTTCGTTTTCGTTTTCGTTCTTGGTTTCAGTTTCGCATTTACTTTTATGCTCTTCATTTGTTTTTTTGCTTTAGTGCCCATTGTCTGTCCATTCATGTGGGGGCCAACTGTGGCCACCTTTAAGGTCGCGTTTCGAGACGCAAATTACCATATAAATACTGTAGTGGCAGGGTACGCATTACTATACCCTTACAGGGTATGATTAATTTAGTCGGAAACTTGAAACGCAGTGAAAAATTCATTTTCGACCCTATAAATCATACATATTCTTGATCACCATCAAAAGCCGAGTCAATCTAGCTATTTCTGGTAAAGAAAAATATTTTTCGAAATTTGTTCAAATTCTTACATCGTCAAAATTTTCAAAACTTTATAAACAAATTTTTATTTTCGAAATTTTATATTGAGTATGCAGGTTTATTAACCTAATAAAAATTAATATAGGACAGCTTTCCGTTGGGAAATTAAAGCATTTTTGACTGAGCTACGATTGATTTTGTCTGCAAGAGTATAGAAATTCAGGTTTTCCAAACATAGCTTAATTTCTTGTTATACCCTAACATTAAGTGGTAGTTTTACAAAAGATATGTTTAAGCGACTATAAGAGTAAGAGTTTTCTACCTTAACCCCACGAGCCTAATATCTCTGACTTTCATAGGAGAAATTCAGTTGTTACTTTTTGTAGGTTCTTGAGAATTTGTTATTAATTGAAAATCAATTTAAAAGGTGTCTAAAAGAATACAAGAATATGAGCTCCTGTGGTGTTGAATTGAATTCACAACTAAAAAAATATAAGTGGAGTACTCGATATAATGAAAATTTGCAATTCAATTGAAAGATTATTATTATAGGGACTTTAAGTGTGTTCATAACTTCGGTTCTGTCTGCTTTTTCACCCAAAATCTTTGAGGCATTGTTTGCAGTGCACTCTCTGGAGTTTCTGGATGGAGTATTGGTAGGATGGCTTTTCCCCGTTAAATTTATGTGTCTGCATGTCGCGGACGCGTAAAAAACCTGCATAAGAATCAGATTCACAACGTTATTTTTGAGTTGGGGGCGCGACGTATAATCAAGCGAGACAATGGACATAAAGTCTGCTCAATTCTGTGGAGGTCTGAGTGCGTTGATTAACGAGTAACTGTCCAGTTATTCGGCCATGTACGAGAAAAAATTAAAAAAGCTGGTTAAAAATTTTATGCAGACTTACTTTAATCAACTGCATTCTGTTATGACTGCAATTTTCGAGAAAAATTCCGGAATTCATTGATAATTTACAAAAAGAAGACAAATATTTGTACGTGCTTCAGTGCGCTTTTGGCTTGATCCCGCATCCGATTAAGGTATTTATCGGACTATGCAAATGAAAGAGGGAATGTCATTTTTCTGCGGTTCATCAGGGTATCAGTGTGACTCATTTGAATGCACTAATTAAATGTTCTTTAACAGAACAAAAAATAACTGAAGAATGAAAAGGAATGTGGTATTTATGATGGCAGCACTCGAGAGACCAATGAAAAGATTATTACATTCGAAGCAATAGGAATTTCTTCTATTTCTTTTCAAAAACATATCAAATAAATGAAAGTGTTTTTAGTTACTTTTCTTTGTAATCTTTAATTTAAAAATACTTTTTTTCCTATTTCATTAAAATTCTTTAAGTTTAACTGTATGTTATTATTTAGTCTTTAACATCACTTGAAATCCGATAAATTCCAACTTTATTTAATTGTGTATGTGGGATTTCATCACTTTAATTTTTTTGCAACTCATTTAATTAAAAAATCATTGTGTTTACTTTTTGTTTTCGTTTTCTTTTTTTTTTTTTTGTTTTTGCTCTGATTAATCCTTGGGGAATTTCGTATGCATTTCGCTAGTTTAAAATCCGGTACTTAATCGAATTAATTAAAATTTCATAGCACGCTGAAAGCCCAGTTCGTGAAATATCTACAAAAAGACCAAAACAATTTCAAGTTGAGAGCGCACAAAAGCCAACCGCATATCAAATATGCGTCTAGGTGGGCCTTTTGCGTATGTGGGGAGCATCATTAAATGCAAATTTATTTAAATTCCATTATTGAATATAATCAGAGCAGAGCTCTGCAATCGTTTCGGTAATCGCAACCAGAAAACTGGTTGAATGTTTTCACTTGGCGCCAATTAAATCAGCAAAAGGGTGCAGCCCCCTACAGTCTGCGTGTGGAAATGCAAATATCCGCAATTAAGCAATAATAATAAGCATCATTAATAAATCATTGCGTGTGCAACAACAACAACAAAAAAAGAAACAAGTGAAATATATGAATAAATAAAAAGGCCATGAGCAGCCCACAAAAGAGTGTTTCAGTATTTCAAGAAGCGGGAGTATCGGTGTTGCTCATTGAAACCCATTGACAGTTGGCGGTGTAGTCATGTGTGAGTTACTCTCTTTTTCTTTTTTTTGTAATCCGCCACAGAAAAGTGCAATTAAAATTTCAATAACAACAAAAAATGGTGTTTAAATCATTGAAAACTGTGCTTTTCACACCAAGCAAATAATAGATCATGACGGATCATCAAAGTGTCCTTTTATTAATATTACTGAAACATTTAGCAATGTAATCTAGGAAACTCTTTGGCCTTTAAAAAAATTATGAATTGATTACTTAAAAATTATATTTTATTTAGATATTAATCTACAATTATTTGAGGTAAATAACCAGAAAAACATAACTACAATCTGAAGACTGATTGGGAAAGCAGATTACAATTGAAATTAAACAATTCATTATTGAATATAATAAAGTTAGCGTCTTAAGTACCTCCCTTAAAAGTTCACTGTCATAAAACAATGCACTTTTAAACACATAACCAGACTGTATATTTTTGTAGTTTTTTTCAATTGCCGAAATTTCAATTTTTCCCCTGAAAACAAATAACTCATCGATCACGACAGTTGGCTCTGGCTCCGTATAGACTTGACCCTCGAAAGCAGTTTAGTTTCTTTCCCGTTCCCCTTCCCCCTCCGAACAAAAAGCAATTAAAACGTTTTTCTTTCCGTGGCTTGTTTTTGGGGGAGGAAGGGGGATTTACCGCACAGCCACCGCTTCCGTTTCCGCTCCGTTCGCAAAAACACTTGACACTACAAGTACTACGAGTACAAGTTACGTTCTCCTGTCTCCTGGTCGCGTATAAAAGTTTGGCACATTCTTCTTGGACACTCTCGTAAATTTCGAAATGGACGTT